TCCTTGTAGGTTTTCAAGACCAGACTGGATACAGCCCTGAGCAACGTGACCTAACAAAACAGCTAATCCTGCAGCACATTGGGCTAGAGACTACTTGAGGTTATTTCTAACCTGAATGATCCTATCTTGATCTAATATTGTGGTAGAGCTACTGCTATTAAGAACCTATAAGCATTTCTGTTTGAAGGTTTGTAATGGCTTATTTTCTTAGACAAGATATCCTCAACTGGTATCTGATAATTTACAAGCAGCTTTCGTTTGAAATGAAACTTTGCTAAGACTGAGTTAGACCTTGATCCCATGAAGTGTTGGGAGCCTGAAGTATGACTCAGCCAGGACCTCAGAAACAAGAAAAGCTTTACAATACCTCTACACGGATACACAATTTGGAAGAAGTTTGGTGTTTACGAATTAAGACCGAAGTCTCTGTGTTATATGTGACTTTCAAGGTCGTGTCCTGTGAGTACTGAGATTATACTATAATAAGAAACAAAACACATGTCAAATTCTTCCCTTGAGAAATTATTCTGATGAAATGAAGTTCTTCAAAAGTTACCTCGTCCCATTTTAAAAGATGCAAAGAGAGTTAAAACTCAACAGCAGTACCAAAAAGGAACTAACGAAAAGCACAGAGCAATACACCTGTAGCATACTGTGCCAAAAGCAAATTTTTATCACATGCATACAAAGGTATCAACTTGAACATACATTCTGAAATTAATTTCATACAGGCAACATAATGCATTCAATTCAGTGTTAGTTGCAGGAAGGGGATCTACTCCAATTATGATAACCTGTATCATAAACAGTAATGTTAAGGAAGTCTTATAAAAAACCATTTCTTCTCTTGGGGAATATCTAGAAAAACTGATGGATAAATCACTATCAACACCTGCAAAGAGACTTGACCATCTAACTGCAACACAAAATATTTCTCTTAAGTCTCTATTTGAATTTATTTCTCAGTTCTAATACAAAACAAGAAAATGAAATCTAACAGCTAATATTTAGTCTTGGTATCTTTGGTGACTTCTTGAATTATGATAATGTCTTGCTATGCCTTGAAATAATAAAACACATTTCAAAACATTACTATTAATTTAAATACTGATCTTCAGTTGTAGAAGTTCTGTGAGGCAAGTTATTATAATTTTTGTCATGTTATATCGACTGATAAGCATATAATGAGATAAGCTGCGGCTTACTGTACAGCAAAATTGATCGAGTTCACACAGATGTTACCTTGGTTCATGATGTAATTGCTCTTGTAACTTCCATCCCTAGGTTAAGGTTATAACAGTTTAAAAGCAACATTAAAAAAAAAAAAAGGTATTTTGAGTTAAACCTAAGTTTCCATCTTGAAAAACATACCTGGAACACCTGGAGAATAGCAGCTATTATATCACACAGGAAGATATCACAGCAAAGCTCTAAGCTGTAACAATTAATGGGAAAGGATATAAAATAACAAGACTGATCATCTGACCCTGCCCAAATGTCATGGTTTAACCACAGCTGGCAACTAAGCACCAGACAGCAGCTCACTCACTCCCTTCTGGTGGGATGGGGGAGAGAATGGGAAAGGTGAAAGTGAGAAAACTCGTGGGTTAGAGATAAAGACAGTTTAATAGGTAAAGGGAAAGCTGTGTGTGCAAGCAAAGCAAAACAAGGAATTCACTCGCTGCTTCCCATTGGCAGGCTGGTGTTCAGCCACCCCAGGAAAGCAGGGTTACATCACACCTAACAGTCACTTGGGAAGACAAATGCCATCGCCCCCAACGTGCCCCCCTTCCTTCTTCTTCCCCCTGCTCTATATGCTGACCACAACATCATAGGGCATGGAATATCCCTTTGGTCAGCTGGGGTCAGCTGTCCCGGCTGCATCCCCTCCCAAGTTCTTGTGCACCCCCAGCCTCTCGCCAGTCGGGTGAGGTGAGAAGCAGTGTTTTGGTTTCGGCTGCCGCTGGCAACAAAAGCGCCACGCGGCCCCCCCTCCCCCCCGCTGCGGTGCGGAGGAGAATGGAAAGAAAACAGGCAGAAAACCGGTGGGTCGGGATAAGGGCAGTTTAACAGAACA